CTTCCTTCCTTCCTTCCTTCCTTCCTTCCTTCCTTCCTTCCTTCCTTTCCTTCCTTCCTTCCTTTCCTTCCTTTCCTTCCTTTCCTTCCTTTCCTTCCTTTCCTTCCTTTTTCTTTCCTTCTTTCTTTCTTTTTTCCTGATTTGTTTTAGAAATGCTTTGGAAAAAACAGTCTAGGAAAAGTAGGCATTCTGTCTATGAATGAGATAAATTTCAGGCATCAACAAATTTGGGAACTGTGGTAATCCCAGCTGTTCTTTCCAGTAGGCTGCCATTAGACCCAAAAACCCTGAAAGGCTAGAAAGATAAGCTGTTTCATAAGGCGCTGGGAGGCAAGCAGGCCAAGTTGGGAACCTATCTTTTTAAAAATTCATGAACTTGGAAACCAAACTCTTCATCTGTCTTTTCCTGGTTTGCATGTCAGGTATAGCCTTGGGCTAGGAGACTGCTGGGAAACCAGATGCTTGCTTGTAAAGAGTACATTTAACTTGCCGTTCAGGAATGGTTGTCTTCAGACTTGAGTTCTGATGCATTTTCCCTGTGAGTATAGAAACTTCAAGTAAAAATTTTTTGGATTTAGTTTGTTTATTATGTGTTTTGAAGTTCATTGTTTCAGATTCTGATGTTGGATCTGAAATAGTGCTGATATTGCACATGTTGAATAGTTCTTGCTTAAAAAATAGGAGCCTTGATTTAGGCATCCACTATTACTGGAAGATACTCAATGAATTCCCATATATTTAATGGCATATTGTGAAAATAGAAATTCTTATGTGTGTGGAGCATTGGTATTGTAGTGGTGAGTATCAAAAAAAAAAAAAAAAAGATCTGGGTATAAATCAGCTTTTATCCTCAGAGTTGGGTTTGAACAGAATGCTATAAATGGAGTCTGAAGTTCCATGTTGAGCTCTTTAAAAAGAATAGCTACAGCATCAAAATCTTCAGTAGTTCTTCAGTGAACAAAAACTAGTCTTCCTCCTAAGAGATTAAGATTAGACTGTTGGGGAAGAATGTGATTTATGTAAGTGAAGAACTCGTTACAGAGCATTACCACAAGTTGGCTGAACAAATGTTCAGTGTAGAGTGAATGTGGAGGGTAATTTCTTGACTTCGCAGTTAAATGAGTTTAAGCAGCTGTTGTGTTATGGATGCATGAGAAGACAATACAGTGGTCACTTTGTGGACTTCATCGGCCTGTTCTTTTAGATGAAATCTAAAGCAATTTCTGTTAAATACTTTCACCATTGCTTCTAAAAAAGGGGAAATTATTCTGCTCAGCAACCACTTAGCAACATCAGACCTACCTGCTAAATAAAAAAAACCCTGCAGTAAAGCAATTGAAAACAAACAAGTACTTTTCCAGGCAAATGAACTTTTCCAAGAGCACAATATAAGCTGAATATAAAAACTGTGACCTTGGCAACTTATAAAAATATATGGGATATTAATTGCCCCAATGTCAAAATTAATAACTTGGCATCAAATAAGAACTATATGATGTTATACCAATAGTAAGTAGCATCCGCATAACATATAAATTGCTGTGTGTGTTGATATTCCCTAAGGTATTAAATGAATCCAGAAATTAATGGGAATTAGTATGTCTGCAGAAATTTCCAGAAACTTAAGTGCAGGATATTCATGGAAAAATATTACAATTACTTAGTCTAAATGGTGCTCTGTGTCTCTTGTAGACTTAAACTGAAGGAGGTGGGGGTCCACCGAACTAGTTCCTCAGGTGTAGTGAAATATTCTGATAATTTCAAAACTTCTAGCTTGGACCAGGAAAAAAAAAAAAAAGTGAAAAAAGGAAACACTTACCTAAGGAATGAATAGCAAAGTGCTAAAGCCATTAGAAATTCCAACCAAAACTTTTTCGGACCAAGTCAGTCAAAATGAATTTTATTGAAGATGTCCTTTTGCTGGCAACAGTGGCTAAGCTACTGTTCCTCCTTTTTTGTAAAGATATTTCTGTACCTTTTAATATTGAATGCTATCACTATTTCTGTTTTTTTTTTTTTCAAATTCTTTATCATTTAAATAATGTATTGGCTTCTTATTACAAATCCTTTCCAGACATCATGTTTTAATCATAGTTCTACATTTTGCAGTATAAGTGTTACATTTCCCATTTTTAATTAATTTTAATTAATGCTTCAGGTTGTACCAAATTTAGCTAAGAGGAACATAAAGTCTTTATGCTAACTAGAGATGCTTTTACTTTTAGGCAAAACTAAAGTCTATGCAGCTTTATTCAAGTCAAGTACAAAGCTTTTGTTTCAGTGGCCACTGGCTCAGCTCTCTCTTTGATGTTTACTTGTTAAGTGTGTCTCTGTGTCTCTGATAGTAAAAACATTTGCAATGTTGAAACAGTTATGAGACCAAACCTATAAGTTCCATGCCATTCCTATTAATTGTCTATTTTTATTAGCTCTCAGGTTCTGCCATATGTGCTGTCATTTCTGATTGTTTCATAACTAGGCTTAATTAACAGGATGCTTTGCTTTCTAGAAGTTGTGCTTTATCCAAATATTGTGTTGCAAGAGTTCCATTTTCATCATTTTTATATATTTAGTGCTACCTAAGTTTTAATTTATGTTTTAAAGAACCTAGTTCTGATCACTCTAATACTGACTTTCTTCAAGGATCGCTACAGATTTAGCAGCATTTTGAAATGTTTCTCCTTAATTCAATGCTGGCTCAGAATATGAAGCTGACTTTATGTGCTGAACTTAAAACAAGACTAATATTAGGTGCATGCTGGTATTAAACATACAGTGAGAAGTACGAAATTCAAAGGCGATACCTCGCAGTCATAACTGAGCAGTGCAGCATTGTGACATGATTATATCGAGCAAAAGCGACGGCAGTGATTGAGAGCTAGCAAAACATGCAGTTCAGAAAACTTGTAACTCCACAACAGGACGGTAGCAGTGAGTAAGCCTCTGATTCAAGTATATAAAACATCACAGGAAATGAGACAACAGGCTAGTTTGTGAAGAAAACAGAATTAGAAGTCTAAAAATAATATTTAGTTTGCCATATTTTGTTCCTATGAGCTGAACTTCCTTCCCTAGAAATACATTTTGGTAAAAATACCTGCTGGTCTTTCCTCTGTTTCTCTTCCATGGATAGCCATTTCCATGAACAAAATGGTGTCTCAATGACGGATGACAAATTTAGTATTTCTTTCATATATTGCGTATAATTTTA